TACTACCTATATATATTATAACGAATTTGTGTCGAATCACATTTTTACACATTTATAATATGCAAATGAACGTAGTTCCGAGCCCTGATTATTATTATTAATATTATGATCGTTATATAGGTATTTTCTGACAGCATGATATAACCGTCGGACTTATATGGAGGGCGACGGCGACACAGAGAATACCTAACCCGTTTACCGCCGCGTGAAAAAAATTGTGCGTAATACCCGGTGCGTCGTCGGCGACGTTTGAGGACACGACGCGTCGTTAATTAGTGCTCTAGCCAGCCCGGCAAGGACGCGAAGGACGCGAGAGATAATAATAATAATAATATTATTATTATTTTATATGTACAATATATAATCAATATTGTCGTGTGTAAATATAATATTATAAGAGACGCGTTTATTATATATAAATATTGTAATATTTATATGACATTACGCAACGTCGTTTCTACAGATTGTTAATCGACGAGAAAAGAAAAAAAAATGTTAGCAATAACACACACACACACACACACAATACGTGTTCTTAATATTACCTATACATAATTATAGGTATATATATTATAACACGTGTGTGTGTGTGCACATGGTATAAAATTGCTCAACTCAATATATCGGACACAGCGGGGGAGTCTCTCGTCGGTCGCGGCAAAGCTGCGTGGAGTTAATGTGCGTCATCATTTAGCTGGCACAGACGAGAGATGACAACCCGTTGCAGATACCTATATATATATATATATATATATAATAGTATCATTACTTGACGTATTTACACCGTTTGTGTAGAGGCCTCAGACAGGTGACGCCGACAGACTTATACACCCGCAGCGAACGTTCGCAGTTTTATTCTCGCGACCATTTACATTTTGCAGAGCTCATATAAAAGTGCATTATAACGATTCACGCGATATGAACAACGGGATTGCGTAGATGAAGAAGTTAAATGTAGAAAATAGAAACGGTAGATTTGCCTTGTGGGTGAGCACGATGGGCGTTTCTCGTCMGAGGACTCTGCAATAAATATTGCATGGTGTAATAAATGTATCACAATATCGAATTATTCTATAATGTTTGGCGGTTACCCTGCAGCAAGATAAAATATTGTTATTCAGTGAACATTCCATTTAACCACATTTTCTGTAAAATATTTTTGATAACCAAACCAAATTATTTAATTCTATTAAACTAAAATATGCTAATATATGGTTTTTTTTGTACTAGTATTATGTAAAAATTGGTTACCTAATTAATACTTACTATTAACTCTTCTCAAATCAATAGGCACATTTAAAACGAGGCACATACATTGCTTATGATCATTATACCTATATAAGTAGCTGGCATGCAGCAAGTAACAGCACTCCTTATTTATAATTGGAATAAAAGAGTTATCGACAGGCCACTGCACTTATTGCTGCAATTGATACTACGACAGACTATGTATGCAATTTGCGGTAAATCGGTAAAACTATTACAACGACGACGATAAATCGTCCGAAATCAATAATTGCTCGATTTTATCAAACCTTAAGTAGGTATACTTCGCGATCTCGACGAATTTCCTCAACTATTGTTATTGCATGATATAAATGCCACATAAGTGTACTACAACGGCCGTCGCATTTCGGTGACGGTTTTTTTTTTTACATGTATAAATATGTATAATAAATATATACATAGGAATTTTTGGTAATTCGACTGACCTACGGACGACATCTTGCAGCCAGTAGTAGTAGTACTGTAAGTACTGTGGTAGTTGTAATAGTAGTGTTAGTAGTAGTGATGCATGAAAGCGGTGCGATCGCGGTGTTAACGACATTTAACTGGTTTTGCCGGAGGATTATGGGAGACGATTTTGTTTGTTTTCAATACTTTTTTTACAAGGCGCTGTTGACGTTTAATTCTCGATTTTATTTTATTATTCGTTTCCAAGACGGTTTGGCTGACCCGATATAATAAAACGATCAATAACTGAAAATTCGTCTCGATGACGACCGTAATGTTGTCATTATATCATCTATGCGTCCGACTTGGACCATTTTGTCGTGTGCAGCAGCCGCAAAGATGACGGGCGACGTACACACGGTGTTCATAAATTTCAACGAAAAAAATACGTTATTCACGACGACGATCATCGATTAAAACTACATTTGCAACTCAACTCTCTATATATGTATATATATACAGGGTGTCCCACGGAGATCTGACAAATGAAATAACTTTTGGTCTAATCAATATTTTTAAAAATTAAAAAATATAATTCATAGAATCTTGCGCTACATTTTTTATTTTTAATACTGAAAATAAAAAACTTAAAAATTGATAAACATTTTTTTCGAAATATTCAATACAGCCAATTTGTATATCTGATTTTCAAAAAAAAAAAATGATATGGTAAAAACACTTATTTAAGTCAAATGGCTGATTTTTTAAAAATCAATATTTTCGTTAGGTAAATTATTACGATCTAGCTTATGTTAGAAACATATTAATCTCAAAAAATATTTGATGTGAATATTTTATAGGTTTATGTTAAAATCTAATAAATTTTTTATTGTATCTACTATTTTATTATAATATTAATAATATTATTATTTGGTCAATAAACTCATTTCTTGAAATTAAAATGTTTCTAACATAAACTATAGATCGTAATTTATTTAACGAAAATATTGATATTTAAAAAAAATTGTAAAAAATTAGCCATTTGATTTAAATAAGTGTTTTTACCATATAAATTTTTCTGAAAATCAGATTTACAAAATTGGCCATATTGAATATTTCGAAAAAAAATGTTTATCAATTGTTCAGTTTTTTATTTTCAGTATTAAAAAATAAAAAAATGTATTCTTAAAATGTAGACCAAGTATCTATGAATTATATTAAATTTAAAGAAAAATATTGATTAGAGCAAAAGTTATTTCATTTGTCAGATCTCTATGGGACACTATAATATAATCCAGTAGAGACGACGACGTGTGTGTGTAAATTCAAAATATTTTCACCTAACATTATTATATATTTTATAAAATATATGTGTACTTAAATACATTGTAAAGTTATTAGTGCGAGTTTTGTCGGCGAAATCGAAAGGTCGTTTGAAATATCGCTTCACGCGTCACAATGATTGAGCGCTTCTTGTAAATAATATACAAGCGTGTATTTCGCGAGGAAAACCCACGACTATTTTATATTATTATTTTACCTTCGATAAAATGCACATAATATTATATGGGTGTACACTGTATACGTCTGTACTTATATCAAATCAATATTACCGAACGTCGTCCGTGGCAAACGTTTCATTAAACGGCCATTAATCCAAAACGTATATAAACATACAATATGTTATTAATATATGTATGATAAATGCGTGAGGTGATCTGAATACCCTGCCTGCACAGCAAGTAGGCGTATAATATATTATAATGTAGAAGTATATTATTCAATTCAGCAATTCGTTTACACTTTATGTCCCGAGTTTTTCTACGTCCGAGGTGACCGCCGCGAGTTTGAACTACGCGAATAAACGCGAATAAAATTTCAAAATAAAATCCCGGTCGTACAACTGCAAGCCATGGCGCTCAAACAAGTTCCACAACGATGACAGCGACGTCTGTGTTATACGTAGGTACCTACATAATGATAACGCCAACGCGTATATAGATTTTCGGTCACTTACCGGCACACGACGACGGAAAAGTCCGATTGTCTTATGTTGTGATGTGCATTTGAGGAAAGCTATAGATCGTGACGATAATGATCGACAAAACTGCATAATATAATATAACTTTATTATCCATACACTGCAAAGACCTAGATGCAGTATCGACGAACGCACCGAAACGATAAGTAGAAAAGGAATATAATAAAACAATGAAAAAATAATAAGGCGAAAAACGATAATATTATTATATTATAGAAATAATTGTTTGGCAATGATTATTTAAGTATTTGCCATACGAGTACAGTGTATACAATATAATGAA